TGCATGTGCGCAGAAAAATATGGAAAGCCAGAAGCTGCAGCTGGTAATTCGATGCAGCCTGAGAGGGTATGCTGTTAAATTTAGGATGTCCTGAGGCAGTGAAATGCACTACAAAAATTCATGCCTTTCACTTCTCCTTTCTGGCATGAATCTATGAACAAGAAAAAGGAGTTTGTCATTTGCACCCCTGTGCCTGCCCTACCATTAAATAAAATCATGGATGATTTGATTGTAACCTCAAAACCAAAGTCCTACTTACCCCAACAACTTTTCAACCCTTTGCTTAACAAGAATCTATCCACCTCTATCTTAAAAATAGCAAGGCCTTTGCTTCTACCTCAGCAAGAGAGTTCCAAAGGCTCATGACCCTCAGTGGTGGGGTGGGGGGGGACATGTCTCATCTGTTTTAAATATAGATCCCTTAAGTTTAAGCATGACCTCCAGTTCTAGATTCTTCCCATAGAGGAAACATCATCTTCACATCTACCTTGTTAAGACCCCTCAGGATCTTGAGTATTTAATTCAAATTGTCTTTGACTCTTCTAAATTTCAGCAGAAACAAGCCTAACCTACCTAACCTTTCCTTGTAAGACACCCCACCCATTCAGGTATTAGTCTGGTAAATCTTCCTTAAACCACCTCCAAAACATTTACATACTTTCTTAAATAAGGAGTCTAAAACTGTACACAACACTCGGATGTACTCTTGCCAGCCTTACTTAACTAAGCATTACCTTCCTACCTTTGTGTTCACTTCCCTTTCAATAAATGAGAAAATCGCATTAGCATTCATAATTATGGCCTGAACCTGCATACAATCTTCTATGATTCATGCACTACCCGCATCCCTCTGCATCTCAGAGTTTTGAATTACACATAATTTAGATAATATGCTTTGTTTTTATTTTTCCTTCCAAAATGGGCAACTAGAATTTTCCCCATATAATATTTGATTTACCAGATCTTTGCCCACTCACTGAACCTACCTGTATATTTTGTCACCTCCTTGTTTTCTTCACAACTTACTTTGCTAACTATCTTTGTGTCATCAACAAATTAGACAACCATACCTCTGTCCTTGATGCCATGACATACCATTCATTACACCTCAATGTGGAAAAGATCCATTTATGCCTTCTCTAAACTTCCTGTTAGTCAGCGAATCTTCTATCCATGTCAACATGCTACCCCTACACCATAATAAACTGTTATTTTCTGTAATGACCTTTGATCTGGCATTTTATCAAATACCTTTTGGAAACTGAAGTTCAGTGCGTTCACTATTTCCCCAGGTTCCTCTCTCCCTTCCTGATCTATAACCACTCTTGAGATGTTACCTTAATCCAATAGTGAAGACTGATACAAACAAAATATTTGTTCAGTTCATCTGCCGTCTCGTTATCCATTATTAATTCTCCAGACTTAGTTTCTATAGGGCAATGATCACTTTGATAACTATTTTGCTTTTAATATATTTATAGTAACTCCTTACCATCTGTTTTTATATTTCTGGCTAGAGTTCTGTCATACTCTTAAATTTTCTCCATAGTTTTATTGTCATTCTTTGCTGTTTGAATATACCGTCTAGTCTTATTACCTGTCACCTGTCTTTATGCAATTATAGATTTTTAAAAAATCAACCTGTCACAACACATTCTGGGGCAGGTAGGACTTGAAACTGGACGTTCTGGCCCAGAGGTAGACACACTACCATTGCATCACAAAAGCTCCTTTGCACAATTGTATGCTTTTTAAAAACATTTAATGCAGCCATTAACTTTATTGCTAATAATGGATGGTGAGTCGCCATCTTGGAATTTTTCTTAATCAGTGGAAAATATTTAGATTCATCGAATCAAACTGCATAGAAACAGGCCCCTCGGCCCACCATGCCTATGCTGACCAACAACACCAAACTATATTAATCTCATTTACCTGCACTTAGTCCTTCGCCTACTTGGCCTGGCATTTAAGTGCTCATCCAGATACTACTAAAATGTTGCAAGAATACATGCCTCCACCACCCTCAGGCAATGTGCTCCATATTTCTGCCACCTTCTGTATGAAAAAATGTTGACTCTGATCCCGTCTTAAACCACTTACTCCTTATTGTAAACCTATGCCACCTGGTCTTAGACATGGAAAAGATTCTCACAATCTACCCTATCAATGCCACTCTTAATTTTGTACATCTCGATTTGGAAGCACCCTCTGTGGGGAAAATAAACCCAGGCTATCGAGTCTCTCCTCATAACTTGAACTTTCAATCCGAGGCAACATGGTGGTAAATTTCTTCTGTACCCTCTCCAGTGCAAGCACATCCTTCCAATAATGTGCCAACCAGAACTCCACACTGTATTCCATCTGTGGCCTACCAGCGTTTTATAAAGTTGTAACAAGACTTCTTTGCTCCTATATTCTATGCCATGGCTAATAAAGGCCAGTGTCCAGTATGCTGCCTTCACCAGCCTGTCTACCTGTGCTGACACCTCTTCAGGGGTCTATGTACTTATACACCAAAGTCTGTTTGTTCCTCACTTCTCCCAAGGGACCTATGATTCATTGTGCATGTCATTTTCTTACTAGACCTCCCAAAATGCATCACTTAACATTTATCAGGATTAAGTTCTATCTGCCATTGCTCTGCCCAATTCACCATCACACTTTGCCTCCTATTTGCAAGCCAGTCTTCAATCCAGCTGGCCAACTTGCCTTGGACCCTGTGAGCTCTAAGCTTTTAGACCAGCCTTCCATGTGGGTTCTTGTAAAAGGCTTACTGAAGTCCGTGTAAACCATATCAACTGCATTACCCTCATCAATATATTTAGTGATCTTTCCAAAAAACATAATTAAGTTAGTTAGACAGGATCTCCCTCCAACAAATCCATGCTGACTGTCCATGATCAGTCCCTGCCTTTACAAGTGTTGTTTAATCCTGTCCCTCAGGATTTTCTCCAATACTTTCTCTATCACTGATGTTAGACCAACTAGTCTGTAAATACCTTGTCTGTTCCTGCTGCGTCCTTTGAACAAAGGAACCACATCAGTTATCCACAGTCATTTGGCATCTCACCTTACTATGGTCTAGAACCTCATCATCCCAATCAAAATCTCCAATGACAATGTCTTTCTCCTTTATGAATACAGATGAGAAATATTTGTTTAAGACTTCACCCACATCCTCTGGTTCCATGCACGGATTGCTCCTTTGCTCTCTAACAGGCCCCACCTTTACTCTGATAATCCTCTTACTCTTAATATACTGAGAAAAATCTGGGCTTTTCCCATCTGCCAATGATATTTTCTGGTCCCTCTTTGCCCTCCTAATTTTCTTTTTAAGCTTTTCTTTGAAGGGCCTCTCCTGGGTAACCACCTGATGTATGCTTCCTTATTTTTGTTTATTAAACTCTCGATATCCCTTGACAACCTGGGTTCCCTGGACGAGATGCCTGTGCCCTTAACCATCAAAGAAACATGTCGGTCTTGAAGTCTTACTATACTGTTTTTAAAAGACTCCCACTTTCCAAGTGTAGACTTACCTGGAAGTGGCTGCTTTCAGTCCATGTTTGCCAGATCCTGTCTAATAATATTGAAATTTACCTTCTTTCAATTTAAATACTTCTACAATATCTTATCTTTTTCTATGACCTTGAAACTTCTAGAATTATGGTCAGTATTCCAAAAGTGCTCATCCACTGACACTTGACTGCTTCATTCGCTAACATTATGCCTAGCACTGTCTCACCTCCAGTAGAACTGTCTGTGTACTGGCACAAAAAGCTGTCCTGAGATTTAAAAATTCCACCTCGTATAATCCTTTCACACTAAAGCAATCCCAGCGAGTGTTAACAAAGTTGAAATCCGCTACTACTATAATCCTGTTCCTGTCACACCTGTCTCTGACTTGCATCCATATGTGCTCGTCTATTTCCCTCTGACTGTTGGAGGCCAGTAGTATAACCCCAGTGAAGTGATCGGCCCCTTTTTGTTATTTCTAAACTCGACCAGACAGATTTATTTGAAAAGCCTTTGAAGATATCCTCCCTCATAATTGCAGTAATGGTCTCCTTTATCAATTAGATCTTGGGTCTTATCATGCCTGATACTTCTATACCCTGGAATGTTGAGCTTCTAGTCCTGCCAATCCTCAATAATTGCAACAATATCATAGAGCATTGACCAGCACTTGGGAATAACTTCATCTACCTTACCAGTCAGGTTCCGTGCATTAAAATATTTATAATTTAGCTTTCCGCTTCACCTGTGTGTCTTATCATGCCCATGCCTTATCTTAATTCAGCCAAATCTTTTTGCATAGAATAAAATAAACTAATTTAAAAGAAATTAAATAAGAAAGCCACATTACAGCAAATGGTATAAATGGATTCAGAAGAAAATCAAAGTTGTCAATGGAAATTTGCCTATGCCAAAGCTAGCATAGTGACACTGGGCTTAACACTGTTGCCTCAAAGCATCAAGGATCTGGGTTTGATTCCAGCCTTATATGACTGTTTGTTTGGAGTTTGCATGCTCTCCCCATGTTTACCTGGGTTTTTGCTGGGTTCTCTGGTTCCTCCCATAGTCTGAAAATGTGCACATTAGGTGGATAGGCCAAGCTAAATTGCTCCATTCTGGCCAGGGATTTGCAAGCAAGGTGGATTAGACATGGTAAATGGAGGGTTATAGGATAGGGGTGGGAGTGGGGATTTGTTCTGTGTGTGATGCTCTTTGGAGGGTCTGTGCAGACTTGATGAGCCGAATGCATTGCAGGGATTCTATGAAATATTGGGATATTAAGTAATGTGGTTGAAATTTAGGCTTGCAGACAGCCAAACATGACCAAATGTCAATTTCCCATTACCGTATATTTTTTGAAGGGAGCCTTTAATTGCAAGACTTTAAATGAAAAGTTTGACAAAGACATGATCCTTTATGTCATTAGCTGAAACTGAAATTTGACAAGATAATTGTTGATTGATAATTTTTAACTGATTTTGCAGGATTTGGAAATTGTTTATTCTTATCTTCATGGAATGGAGGCCTTGTCCAATTTGAGGGAACACCAGCTGAGGTAAGAGTGAACCTTTTAGAGAATGTTGGGTATGAAAATATTTTAGCCATTAATGTGGTTTTTACCTGTTTTTACTGCAGCTTTTTATGAATACAATTTAACGTTCTTTTAAAGATAATTACACAATCTTGTAACATTAACAAGATGTTATGATTTTCAGACCAATTAATTTTTACATGTATTTGACATTTTAGTGTACTGTGTATGATGTCTGACAGGTTAAAATCCAATTTTCAAAATGCATTTACTTGTTTGTAAATTTGTTATTGATTATTGTTTGAACTGAGTCAAATTTTGAGAGCTGAGATTTATTCAAAGGCAGGTTTTAACTTGCCACCTGTTCAAGAGGACGTGTGTTGTGTGGAATGAACTGTACCAATTGGTCTTATTCTGCTGATAGCATACCAATGCAAAAGACAAGTTCCAAGTACTTACTCCTCAAAATGTTTTGATTAAAATCTCACCTATTTTATTGTACTTCAGATACCAAGTTCAAATATCTCTTTCTTGATAAATCATAGTCCATTTGTATTGGAGCTTTGTAGACATATGGGATTTTATCACCAAGAACTTGGAGGTGGTGGTGTTCCTATATATCTGCTGCCCTTGTCCTTCTAGATGGAAGCGGTCGTAGCTTTGGAAGGTGCTGTCTGAGGATCTTTGGTGAATTTCTGCAGTGCATCTTGTAGATAGTATACACTGCTCCTTCTGAGCATCGGTGGTGGAGGGAGTGAATGCTTGTAGATGTGTTGCCAATCAAGCAGGCTGCCTTGTCCTGGATGGTGTCAAGTTTCTTGAGTGTTATTGGGGCTGCACTCATCAAGGCAAGTGGGGAATATTCCATCACACTCCTGACTTGTGCCTTGTAGGCGGTGGACAGGCTTTGAGGAGTCAGGAGATGAGTTACTCGCCGCAGTATTCCCAGCATATGGCCTGCTCTTGTAGCCACTCTGTTAATGTGGTGAGTCCAGTTGAGCTTCTGGTCAATGGTAAGCCCCAGAATGTTGATAGTGGGGGATTCAGTGATGGTAACACCATTGAATGTCAAGGCGTGGTGGTTAGATTGTCTCTTATTGGTGATGGTCATAGCCTGGCATTTGTATGGCGTGAATGTCACTTGCCACTTGTCAGTCCAAGCCTGGATATTGTCCAGATCTTGTTGCATGTGAACATGGACTGCGTCAGCATCTGAGGAGTCATGAATGGTGCTGAACATTATGCAATCATCGGCGAACATCCCCACTTCTGACCTTATGATGGAGGGAAGATCATTGATGAAGCAGCTGAAGATGGTTAGGCCGAGAACACTACCCTGAGGAATTCCTGCAGAGATGTCCTGGAGCTGTGATGATTGACCTCCCACAACCATGACCATCTTCCTATGTGTTAGGTATGACTCCAACCACCGGAACATTTGCCCCCTGATACCCATTGATTCCAGTTTTGCCAGGGTTCCTTGATGCCACATTCGGTTGAATGCAGCCTTGATATCACGGGCTGTCACACTTACTTCACTCTGAAATTCAGCTCTTTTGTCCATGTTTGAACCAAGGCTGTAATGAGATCAAAAGCTGAGTGGCCCTGGCGGAACCCAAACTGGGCGTCACTGAGCAGGTTATTTCTGAGCAGGAGCTGCTTGATAGCACTGTTGATGACACCTTCCATCACTTTACTGACAATCGAGAGGAGACTGATGGGGCGGTAATTGGCTGGGTTGGATTTGTCCGACTGTTTGTGTACAGGACATACTTGGGCAATTTTCCACATTGTCGGATAGATACCAGTGTTGTAACTGTACTGGAACAGCTTGGCTAGGGGAGCGGCAAGTTCTGGAGCACAAGTCTTCAATACTATTGCTGGAATGTTGTCAGGCCCCGTTGTCTTTGCAGTATCCAGTCCCTCCCACCGTTTCTTGATATCACGTGGAGTGAATCGAATTGGCTGAAGACTGGTATCTGTAATGCTGGGGACCACTGGAGGAGGCTGAGATGGATCGTTCACTCGGCACTTCTTGCTGAAGATTGCTGCGAATGCTTCAGCCTTATCTTTTGCATGGATGTGCTGGGCTCTTCCATAATTGAGGATGGGGATGTTTGTGGAGCCTCCTCCTCCAGTAAGTTGTTTAATTGTACACCACCATTCATGACTGGATGTGGCAGGACTGCAGAGCTTAGATTTGATCCGTTGGTTGTGGGATCGCTTAGCTCTGCCTATGACTTGCTGCTTCCGCTGTTTGGCATGCAAGTAGTCCTGTTTGGTGGCTTCACCAGGCTGATAACTCATCTTCAGGTATGGCTGGTGCTGCTCCTGGCATGCCCACCTGCACTGTCCATTGAACCAGGGTTGATCCCCTGGCTTGATGGTAATGGTTGAGTGGGGGATATGCCGGGCCATGAGGTTACAGATTGTGCTGGAGTATAATTCTGCTGCTGTTGATGGCCCACAGCGCCTCATGGATGCCCAGTGTTGAGTTGCTAGATCTGTGCGAAGTCTGTCCCATTTAGCACTGTGATAATGTCACACAACATGATGGAGGTTGTTCTCAATGTGAAGGCGGGACTTTGTCTCCATAAGGACAGTGCGATGGTCACTCTTACCAATGTTGACATGGACAGATGTAACTGCAGCTGGCAGATTATTAAGGATAAGGTCAAGACTGTTTTTCCCTCTTGTTGGTTCCCTCACGACTGCCGCAGACCTAGTCTAGCAGCTATGTCCTTTAGAACCTGACCAGCTCGATCAGTAGTACTGCTGCCGAGCCATTCTTGGCGGTGGACATTGAAATCCCCCACCCAGAATACATTTTGTGCCCTTGCCATCCTCAGTGATTCCCCTCAGTGTTATTCAACATTGAGGAGTACTGATTCTTTAGCTGAGGGAGGACGGTATGTGGTAATCAGCAGGAGATTTCCTTGCTCATGTTTAACTTGAAGCCATGAGACTTCATGGCGTCCGGAGTCAATGTTGAGGACTCCTAGAGCAACTCCCTGCCAACTGTATACCACTGTGCCGTCACCTCTGCTGGGTCTTTCCCGCCGGTGAGACAGGACATATCCAGGGATAGTGATGTTGGTGTCTGGGATATTGTCTGTCAGGTATGATTCTGTGAGTAGGACTGTGTCAGGCTGTTGCTTGACTAGTCTGTGAGACAGCTCTCCCAATTTTGGCACTAACCCCCAGACGTTAGTGAGGAGGGCTTTGCATGGTCGAAAGGGCTGTTTCTGCCATTGTCCTTTCCAGTGCCTAGGTTGATGCCAGGTGATTTGTCCAGTTTCATTTCTTTGAGTCTTTGTAGTGATTGTGACATCTGAGTGGCTTGCTAGGCCATTTCAGAGGGCAGTTGAGAGTCAACCACATTGCTGTGGGTCTGGAGTCACATGTAGGCCAGACCAGGTGAGGGTGGCAGATTTCCTCCCCTGAAGGACCTTAGTGAATCAGATGGATTTTTCCAACAATCGGCAATGATTTCATGGTGATCAGTAGACTCTTAATTCCAGACTTTTCTTTGTTTTTTTGAATTCCAATTCCACTACTTGCCGTGTGAGATTTGAACCCGGGCCCCCAGAACATCAGCTGGGTTTCTGGATTAATAGTCTAGCGATAATACCACTAGGTCATCGCCTACCCTAATGGTGGCAGGCTCACAGTGTAAGACCCCTCCTATATGGCGCTGAAGAGTTGGCTGGATTTATGACCCCAAGTCCTGATGTGGAGCTTGAATACAGTTTTCTGACTCAGAAGCCAAGTTCTGCCACTGACCAAGTTGACTCATCAAAATATGGTGCCTTGCCAACAATGAATATTTTGAGTTTATACTGTTCCTCAGAGCTGATACATAAGCAAGCTCTTTGGAGGAAGAGAAAAGAAAAGGAAAGGATGGAAAAGCATCAGCTGATTACTTTAACCACTGGGAAAATGATGGTAGGCTGAACAATAATCATCCTTGTGAAAATGAAAAGCTCAAGATAAAAACAACAGTCAAATAAATATCTAAAATAGTGAGAAACCTGCACAAGGAAATTAAGAAAGTCAGGGAAGAAGATGTATTTGATCAGAAATAAAGAGGAAAGGTGGGAAAGATGAAGACTTGAAAACAATCACCAGCACCTAAAAGAGTGAGAGTGATAACTCTGTGCTCTCTGCAGCTTCATTAAAGAGGAATAGATCTGTGTGAAAAGGGTATTGGCAGTGGGAGATACAAATTTGGCAGCCAATATCACCTTTAACTTGTTCCTACCTGTCAGAGACGATGTGTGAATCGCAAGAAATTGAGTAGATGATTGGTGAGTGTTTCTTCTGCGAATCTTCTGATTGACCAAGTGGTTTAAATCATTGCAGCCATACAGTGCAGTTAGGAACTTTTAAAAGTTGCTTCTAAAGTCCAAATGAATTAATTAAATAGAATAGAGATGGCTGGGCAGATGGTGTGATGCAGCTGTAGAGTGTAGCAATATGACAGCTCAAGGAACCTTGGCTCAGAATCTGTGATCTGGAGTCCAAGCTCCAGATACTGTGATGCACCAGGGAGGGAAAGTTATCTGTGCAGTGCTTCAGGAATCAGTCATAGTCCTTAAGTAAATTACATCAAATTTGGTCCATGGTTAGGTACAGGAGGGTGTGATTGCAAGTGAGGCATGCACGGGGATGCAGGATTTAGCTTTGGAAGAACCAGTGTCCTTGAGCTGTAGGCACCACACTCTTGCTACTAGTATCGACGAGGGCAAGGATTGAAAGTGAGGATAAGTGAACTGACTGCAGCAACATGGCCTAAAGTGGCATTCATGTAGGGACATAGAAGTTTATAGGTTAGTCAGTCAGTTCTTTATCCATGCCTATATAGTACCTCTAGCACCATGGGGTTGTATTCTATTAAGTGGCCTAACATGTGAAAGCTTATCAATTGCCTTCTGAAAATCCAAATATGTTAGATCCGTTGCTTCCCCTTTATCTATTCCACCTTTTGCCTCAAAGAATTCTTGTAAATTTGTCAGGTATGATTT